AGCCTACATGCTAGCCCTGTCTCGAAATGACACCAATAACGAGATTGAGACCTTCTGCTCCCGCCTCATCGAACACATGGCGCAGCATGGCCCCGCCCCCACCTCGTGTGATGATCTGAGCTGCGAGATGGCTGAACTGGTTTCTCTTCTCAGTGCTGGCTTCACAAGTCTCGGCGCTAAAAAGGCATTTCTGCAGAAGCTAACCAACGTCTTTCTTGCACTCGCCGACGCCGCCGTCCCCTCAGACATCCTCGCTGCTGGCGGTGGTGTACCACAACAGCAAAACCTACTGCCCTTCCTGCGCTTAGTTGTGCTCTTCCGCTACCAGCTGCATTATTTCTTCGATCCACCGAAGCACCTCAACGCACAGTTGCGTCCCCTGCTATCTGGTGACGGCAATGAGCACTGCTTGGTCTGGCAGTTCCCCGACCTCAAACGAGCTGTGGACAGTCTGCCGGAGGCTTTTAAGCCCGCGGAAACTGTTGGTCGCGCTGCCTGCTTTTACGACCTCCTTTTGCCGCATTCAACTGTCGCGAATGATGAGACATCGGAGACAACTGCTACCTCCTTGTCAACCATCACCACCCCCCCTGCGGACGGCCTGGTAATTTTTCGCCCAGCTTTTGTCTCACTTGTCTCGGCAACTGGTCACCGCCGCTGTGTTCTCGCTTTCTATTTGTGACTAGTTATTCCTTAGAGAGTTACAGTGTATGTACTACCTCATTAAATGTTTTAAGGGATAACCTTAGAAGGGCTGTGAACATTATCGTGCAGTCTGATCCAGTATATATGTCAGTCACGTCTGGATGCAGGATTTTAAATGACGGTCTCTTCGGCCGCCTGCCCAACCTGGAATTTGCAAAAAAGTATTACAAGTTGCTATGTGACTGCCTGCGAGGGCTCCAGATTGAACTCCAAGGCACAGCGAAACGAGTATGTTCCATAAGCAGATCGCTTAGCCCCACACTATCCTCATTTTCGTGATTCCAACCTACAAAGCAACGGACCCGTAGCTCAATGGTAGTGTTGTACTCAATAACCAAATGTCGCTGGTTCGAATTTCAGGGCTCGCCACTCCTGGGATTGGTTATGACTGGCTGATAACGGCTTATAAACCAGAAATGGCCATTTCGGTCTCCCTTGCCTTTGTCGTTCCAAGTTCATCAAAGTTATGTATATCTTATAGAAAACATACAAGAATATATTCGTCCTTATACTCACGTGGTAGCAAATTGGAAACTCGAAAAAGGGTTATCTTTCCGTTTTAAAAATTTTTCCATTTATGACGCCTTTTAAGAACATGACATGTCCCTTCTTGAAAAATCCTATCCGTGCGTTTCTAATTGCTGTTTCTAAAGTATGCACCATGTCGCCCAGCCTATTCATAGCGGAGAGAAATGTATTTTTTTTCTTAGCCGAACTGTAGACAGCATTCAGTTTAGCATCCCTGAAAACAAGCATGACGGCTGGTCGGGTTCAGTCACTGAAAAAAATTCATGTAAAATCCAAAAGTATACTTTTTTCAACTATAGCATTCAAAGGCGTAATCTGCTGTAATATGAGTACCAGAAAAAGATATTTATGTATGTTTTCTAGTAAAATATGTTTGAATTTATAAGGGCTTCAGCAATTACTGGTAAAAATGCACGCTAGTTTATAAGGTTTCTTTTGCAGAGTGCACTTTTTCCAAGTGATCGGAAGGAGGCCGGCATCTTTGGATTATGCTGCACGATCATCAATATTGCAACCCTGTTTAAGTAACCTTTTGGAAACGAAAGCACATTTCCGAATTTCGCCTACCATTTCATGAGGCAGCTAATTCACTGTAACTGGACTAGTCTTGTCAATCGATCTAATTAGACATTCGCTTCCTCTTCATGGGCATCTTCAGCTATCTTCTATCTTTGTCTAAAAATGTGGCCAGAAGGTATGCGTCAATGCCAAGACTTCTGCGAACACTCATTGAAGGTCCATTAGGCGGTACAGAATTAGTACAAGAGTGTGTTGTCGATGCTGTTTTATACTCTAGTCTTTATGCGCCATCGAGGTAGATACTCACATGATGAACAGCTTACAGGAAAAGAAAATTACAAGGTAAAGGTGTTCAGCACGGTTTCGAGGTCTGTAACCCTACCTCGCTACGAGGGTACTCGCACCAATGACCCCATTTCACTCTCATAAGCCAACCTGTTGGCCATCTTGCCAGTGCGTGACTGAACCCTTCCAGACGGCAACCCTTTATGTGACCGACTTAAAATTTTCCGAGTTGGAATTTCACACTGTAGAGGCGAAGCTACAGCGGTACAATTTTTATATATCTCAATTTTCCTCAAGTCTATAATGTACCGACAAAGCCATGTTTCGCATTCGTTGCGCCCAGTGGCCTTGATAGTAAAGTCATATGTTAGGGTTGCGCAAGATGTATGCGACAGTTGCTACCAATTTGTCAGCTACTCTTGGGAAACACGGGTTTGCTAAGACAGACAAAGTGATCGGTCATTATAGCCTCATGTCGTCCATTAGGGTGGAGGTTGGGAGAGAATGGCATTCCTCGAGATTCCAAGTCTTCAAACAGTATCTTGGACGCTTTCAGCTGCAATCCATATTTACTTAAGGCGTCGACTGTTCAATCAAGGGCTCATTAACTTCGCCCAAGAAAATTCTTGATTAAGGGTAGGTTTCTGGTTGGAACCTCCGGAACAAGCATGCAGGCCTCACCTTATGATAACCTTCGGATAGAGAAGAAGATGACACGATCGCTGGGACAATACTTTTATTCGCCTGACGTTTCGTGATTCGTCGCGGATTCGTCATCAGAGATATATTCAGATAGCAGTAGCAGGTATGGATCCCAAACCTTCGGATAGCCATTCCGAATAATTTGGTCGGGAAGGTATCGGGCCTCACAAGTCTTTTTCTTTGAGTTCGAAACCCCAAATGAATAAAGAAATTGTTTCGGTGACCTGACTGCATTTTCCAGCATATGCTATGTTGACAGATACCATCTTTCCACGATTTGTGTAGTTCTCCCCTCCATCAGGGCACTTAAACAGTTAATTTTGCACACTCGACCAAAT